CGCGTTTTGACAGGCGAGAAGTGTCGAGGTTGTTTCTCCAGCGGGACTGTTCTCCTGCTCCCAAACTTTAGACTCTTGCTCAACTTGTGCTGCTTCAAGAGACTCCTTTTTTGCTTCAGCGCCGTGTGTTGCTTTGTGTGTTGCTGGGCATTGAGTAAAGTCGCTGTGCGAGGATGACTCGGGTGTATCTTTCAGCTTGTCTTGAACTGACTGCAACGACGCTATCCCACGGCTGAAGGCTTCATCAAGCTTCGCCATTTCTGTCATGCTCCAACGTGGCCGAATACTCGAAGCCGGCATTTTTTCAAACTGGTGTTTTTGCGCGGCGATATACATCAGATGCTGGCAAGGTAGATGGTAGGTGCAATAAAATAGGCAGGAACAGCTCCACTCGAAGTCGTTACACTGGAAAATGCTTCCTTGCGTGCTTATTAGCCATTGACCCACGTCACTTAGTCGTTTGGCAAATGTGTTCTGAGCCAAAATCACCATAAGATAATCCCACTGGTCCCGCACTTTCGCTAGCGTGTCGTCGTTCATGTGTTTCGCCAAAAGAGAAAGAAACGTGGGGACCCGAACTGGTTGGCGATCAGTGGTCGAGTGCTTGCGCATGGCAGCGACCTGCTGTCGAATAACCGTTGACTGGTGTGCCAATACACCACTAATCGTGAAGTCGATTCGCGGTTTCTTCCCAAGAAGCAGCTTTAGCTGATTCCAATTAGGCTCGATGCGGTTGGGTCGTCGTGTTACCAGCAGTGAAGCATTTTCCTCGAGCGTGGCTTTGCCCACATGGAAACTACATGGTTTCCAGTTTCTTTGGAAAATACTCCAAGCAGCTTGGGGCACGCTTCTTCACACCTCCGGGTAAACACGTCTACTTCAGCGTCAAACCTAGACTGTGAGTTGCTGGAGACATAGGTAATAAATAAAATAAGCAACACAGAAAGCAACACAACATTAAAAATTCTTACCAATAAATCAATTTCGCAAAGGCAGTCTCCATCGCATCTCTTTGAGCCATCTTCAGATCATATTTGGGACGTCGGCAGACCTTCCGCCAATACGTCAACGCGTGAAATTGACACAGAAGTATCTTAGCGTTCGGGAAAGCTTTCTCAAGAACCCGCCATTCGACAAAGTCCTTATCGATGACGACACTTTGAACACTGCGCCAAGTCGGGTTTTTCCGCTTGAAAAATTCGATGATGTACTTCATCGTAGCTGCCTTCTGATCAAGAGCAAGGAAATCAATAACTGGAATTCCTCTTCCCGTTGCTGATGTTGCAACAAGACTGCCTATAGAACGGTGACACATTTTAGTTAATTTTTTAATGTTTTTTTCATCAGAACTACAAACAACTGAGTTGGACATACCTAAATGGTACCCCAGATTGTTGGTCCATGTGTCCAGTCCATGACCAAGCTGTCTCCCCAGGACTCGAAGCATGTCTTCTGAATTGACGATTGCATCGCAATGATGCAGTAATATCAAGCTGATCCTGGACGAGAAGTACATCATTACCACTATCCTCGTCGGCAAAATTGCCCAGGATAACCTTGGATCTCTCAGTACTCGACTCGCCGAGCACTTGCTGCACAAGATTTCTTGTCAGCTGAGGCGTAAGCACCATATCTGTATCCGAAATCATATCAAAATTATCATTAAATTGAAAAAAATACGTCAGAATAAATATACAACTGCAAGTGGCCTAATAGTAGCACCCACCTAGCTTGTCCGACAAGTATCGATTAATGTCAGCCGTGCGCGTCTTCATCTCGGTCAAAAGACCAAGTTCTTGGCGGACTTGCGGGGTGAGTGGCATTGACTTCGCCCCACGATACGAGTCGTAGATTGTTTTATTGGTCTTGTGGTTGTGTAGCGATATCTGTGAATCAATCAGATATTAATATCTCTTTCTAACAGGGTACTTAAACAGAGACTCACCTCCGTTCCTGGTGCAACGATCACTTGCCATGTGGCTTGACCATCCACGACGACACGCTCAGAGCGAACGAGGAAACCTGCTTCACAACCGGTAAAGCGTAAATCGTAGTCACGGCGGCCTTTGCCGCGGGATTCTTGTGACGATCCGTGAGTGCACCACATCCGCTTAAAACTGTGCGTCATCTTTAATGGAAGCTGTGTAATTCCATGTCGGCTACAAAATCATACACCCATACATAATGTAAGAAAACACAAATATAATCAAACAATGAGTTCATGTACCTGTTGTACTTGGCCCGGGTTTCCGAGCTTCTAACCCGGTAACACAAGTAGTTCTTCGCCGCGTAATCCGCCAGTATGTCATTGAACTCACTCCAGTCTTTAAATGCTTTCTTCGGGAGCTTCGGCACATAATTTGTCACTGATGTGTGGGATTTCTTCATGGTTTCCCGAATTTGCCAAGTTTTCGTTCGACGTGTAGGCTTGCGAGCTGTGTGGACTTGCGCAATTGGCTTGGGAACGGGATCTGTGCTTTTACGAGTCTTCTTAGCTGTCGGGTCTGTACTCATTTCTGGCTCGTCGATCTGGGAATGAACCCGTTTTTTTGTGTGCTTTCTTTCAGATCCCGAGCCTTTAACAATAAAGCAAAAATATTTGTAGCAACATATGAAGCAACACATAAGCAACATAGTCAGCAACATAACCAACAGCATACGCAGTAACTTAACAAGCAACACAAATGTAAACGTACACAAAGTGAGTTCCTGATTGGTTTCATTGAGGTTGACTTTGTGTAGTACGGTCCCGCCGGCGTCACGAATCGCAGTATTGGCATCCGCTGTGCCATTTTCGACAGTGATTTCCGTGGCACCATCGATTGCCTTAATGTGCCCCTGTCCAGATACCGGCTTCATGTCGTCTTCAGCAGCTGTATGACAGCTCGCAACCTCTTTCTCGGCCTCCTCTCGCGCAGCTTTCTCGGCCTCCTCTCGAGCAGCTTTCTCGGCCTCCTCTCGCGCAGCTTGCACAAAGCGTAGAATGGATGCCTCACAACCTAGTAATTAAGAGCAGTGACAATTAGTTTTTTCAGGTAACGTAACTGACTTGGCGTACCCGTCACATGTTGTTCGCCATCGCACTTCCTTTTGTCGTCGAAGTCCTCTCCATCGTTGGCTTCCTTGGCATTGTCCGTATTGTCTTTGAGCCTGTCGATGCTGGTTTCTGCGTGACGTCCTTGATCGACGGTCCGAATAGTACTGAGGATATCTTCGAGAGCATCGTCCCGTCCGTCGGCAGGATCGCGCTCCGGGTCATAATCCTTATCATTGTCATCGTCCACTGCAAAGCCTTGGACAGCAAACACGTAGTCGATGGGTTTACGCTCGCGTAGGGTAGCATTTGGCGCTTGTGTGCTCGTGTCGAACGGCCCAGAGGACGCATCTTGCGCTTAATGCAACGCAAAAACAAAAGAAACAAAGCGGGTAAGCAGACACGATACACTACGTCACATGGCAACAGCTTACCCGACGTGTTCTGCCCGGGCGCGCTTGCAGGCTTGGTTACCATTGGTCCAGGCGAAGAGTACGTAGCTGCATCAGTAGCTAAAAGTGACATCAGCGTTGTGTTGGTAAATCGATTTAGAAACTTAATACAAACGCGACTTACCAGGTGCGTCGATTCTCAGCGAGCTCGCGCGTGGTGGCTTCGACGGTCTCCCCTTCTTCTTCGTCACGTCCTTCCCTCCCTTAGCTCTCGTCGCTGAGCTTAAGGGGCGCGCGTTTGCCTGCCAACCCTTCTTCGCTGGTGTCATAATAGCTGGAGGCTGGTTTCTCGTGTCTTTATTCAAAATACAAAAATGGGAGGCTGGAAATGATTTGGGGGGGATCGTACTTAAGTGCGAAAACTGGATCTTGCGAATTTTCAATTTAGTCGGAAATTTTCACAGTAAAGAAAACGTAGATAAATTACGTAGCAACACAACAACCGATTGTGTTGCTCTCAACCTGATGTCGTGACGTTGTAGTTGTGTTGTAGGAACGACTCCGAGTCGAGCGCCATCATAGAACCACAAGCAGCTCCTTGGCTGCAAGACTCGGAGTCTTACTTCAGTGTGGAATCCACTTCAAGCGGACAGCTCACTTCTTACGCCTATCCATGGCTGCACACGATGCATCAGGCACCTGTGGCCATCGCTGAATTTCAAGATACATGTAGTTTTTTGGCTGAAACCCCTCAGTGCTCCTGCAAGTAATCCACTTTTCAAGCGACACCGTCGCACCGTGATGACAACTTTCCGACAATTAAGCGGCAGCTGAAGGTGACACGTTGACCCGCACACCTTGTTGGTGACTCAAGATTCTTGAGTCAAGATCACGGTTCTTGGTGCCGACGATTTGAAGCTTTGGGATTTCAGCTACAGTCCGCCCTGTGTGATATGCGCTCAGTAGCCTTCGTTGGCCAGCAATACTCGGTCATGCTAATAGCAACAACACCCGAGCAGGTCGCCGTTATTGAGGTCTCTGCATGTACAGTACTTCGTGCGTACAGATTGGTTTGTTGTCTGACAATTCCTGGCAGCACTAGCGCTGCAAACAAGACACAAAGTGTTGTCAATTGGACTCAACAGAGACGCAGGATAACTTTAATTATCCTGCGGGTAGCGGATCTAGAGCAATATCGTTACGAGTGCCGTGCAACAGATTTCGAGCTTATAATCGACGCTCAAAAGGCCTTTTCTTCATGGTGAAGCTCACAACCTTTCGTCCCGGCGTTGAGCAGGATTCGCTCGCTCCACCTCTACACCTGTTTGGCTTGTTTCTCGCCGAGATTGCTGCTTCTGTGTTGCAGAAACGCCTTGCTCAACAACTTGACCATTAGAGCTCTTCAACAACGAGTCGTGAGCTCTTCGCGTACTTGGTCAAAATGATAAAACGGCATCCATGCTGTCGTATTTCGTATCAATAACGAGGAATGCGAGCATTCACGACATTCATATTCGTTTGGAGCTGGATTCAATATCTATCTACACAGGTGCTGGCACACGTTAGCGACGAGTTTACCAGTTGAGCTTATCGATGGCCACATTCCGTGCTGGGAGGGACTTGGCCTCCAGCAGACACGACAGGCAGAAGAGCATCGACCTCTGCAGAACTTCAGTGCCAAGCCCCACACAGATCTTCTTACTCACGGAGCACTTGCTACAGAGCACACGGCGGCAGATCTGACACGTGCCGCCACGCTGCAGCACCAGCGTACTGAACTTGCTCAGGCTGCGTGTGCAGTTAGCGCAATGGCTGGTTGTTGTCATGCGGCTCAAAACGCTGCCGGTGCCGGGACGCACCTGTTTCGTTGCCTGCTTCATCAACCACGTAAGTTTGTGACCATTGGCGCACTCCATACTGATGGAAAGGGCCATGAGCTTCTCCGCATACGCAGCAGCCGCCACGCTGACAGGGAGGTCGCCATCCATCTCAAGGAACGCACGTGAGAACTGCTCGACCGTGTTGTGACGCGAAGCACTCGTCTCAGTCCTGTTTCCGAACGTCTGACAGCCGGACATGTTGCCACGAATAGTGTTCGGCGGACGCGGCAGATTAATGATGTCGGACACGTCGACAGACTGGCGGATGCCGTACGCCACGACCTCCCCCTTGGCATCGGTCGTGAGAGCGGAGCCCTCCAGAAACACGAAGTCGCGGGCCTGACTGAAACGGCCATACGACTGCAAGCCCCACTTGAGGCCGATGAAGTTGAGTGGGTGCTCAGGTGTCGGGCGTATTAGCACAGCAAGCAGACGCGCGTCTTCGAGCTCCGTGCCCAGATATGACTCGCGCATCTTGGCGTTCATCTCCGTGTCGGCGAGCATACCCAACGCCGCGTCCTCCGCCGTCCCATCAATGACACCGGAGATGACGACGGCAGGTGGTCGGGCCGACTTCTTCTGTTTGCGGAACTGGTTTTCGCTACCTGATGAGGTAGACGACACGAGGCTAGCAATCTTGTCCATAGTTGATCGCTGCGAGCTGGAGTTTGACGAGGAAGATCTCGAGACGACGTCAGCCGTGTCGGCGCGTGAATCGGTATTATCCGCGATGCCGTGCAGTGCGCGACGCGAGCGGTACGCGCGGACGTCGTCCATGGTTTTGACGAGCTTCCAAGCGGACGTGTCAAGCTGCCGTCCGCCCGCTGCAAAGGCACTTCGCAGCTCGAGAGTATTTTGCACGACTGCGTCCACCTCAGCCAGCAGAGCTACTCTACGCTCGGGGGTTATCTCGAACGGGGGCAGATCCACCTCCTTGACATTAAACTTGGGCATCGTAAATATCACTTGTCGACGACGCGCAGATTCTTTTAATGAGGGCTGTTCTGACCGTGGTGCCTGTGAAGAAGTTCAGGCATCAACACTCTCCAGGTGGAAAGCACTGGCTGGCACATCAATCGCCTTTATCTTGCCTGCTGCCAGTGCGATGTGCGTCAATATCAATTGCATGTCAGTGGAGACTTGAGCGCACCGTCCACGCCCGGATCTACAACACGTGTCAAGCTCGGCGTTCTGAACATTGGAGCGTCGATCGACGCCGACTCATGGCTATCTAAGAAAGACAAAATCTTTGAGTGATTTCCTTGAGAAAAGCAAAGCCAAACTTGACGTGAGGTTTGAAATCGGGTTGCTCGAACGCGAGCGTCATAGCATATCTGAGACTTGTCGTTCTGTTGGACCGGCACGATTTGGTGTGAGCTGGCGGCACCAGCTCACAGCCAGTGGCGCTGGTAACTTTTTACATAAGGCATTACCAAACAGCCAGGTTTTCAGCTGGCTGAGGCTAATGGAGGCATCTGCTGCTTTCCAACTTTCTCAAGCGTAAGCTCCTTGTAGGTTGTGGTATTTATCTGCAGCATCTGACAGGTTCCTCTAGGTCTTAGCTTTGAGATGGGATCTCTAGCGCTACCGAACATAAATTCAGCACAAGTGTTCAGCAACCTTGAACTCTATCGAAGTGAATCACTGAAGTTTGCTTGATGACTTTGGTTGAAGTGGCCACATATTTGAAAAATTATGTAAAGGATCTGGCATGGCCGGAGTTCAGGTTTGATATTGTGAAGGCGACGAACGCTTTTTTTCGAACACTAATTCTCGTACACGAAATGCGCGAAACCATACTTGACGGTTAGTGCTCTCGGTACTTTTAAACGTACGCGTGATCACTCATAGCCGGCGCCGGCTCAAACCGACAGGCCGATTACTTGTCAGCGCGGGCCAGAGAAATAATCTGAGCGTCCGGTTCCAGCACGCACAAGCAACTTTCTTCGTCGTCTTTTCGGTTTCAAGTCGTCACGAACGTTGCTTTTTTTTTAAGAAGCAGCTTCTCGCATTTTGGTCACTCTTTAATAGGGCAGGATGTTTGTCTATGGGCGTACATATACAAATCGAGGGGAAGGTCACTTCAAGCGAGCTGCAGTCATCGCATCTTCAATTTGTCCAAGAGCTGGTTCTTTCGCGATGTTCTCATCTCGACTATACCGGTATCTTCACCACGCAATTTCAAGAAACTTTTTCTGCTGAAATGTTTTTTTTTAAATTGCTATGAATTTCATATCTATCCAGAGAGCCCTACACGACTACTTTACTCAAGCGTCCCACGAGGTCAATGTAGCAGCTTTGTGTAGCCCATTCATTGAGAGCTACACCCTCTCAGTCTAACTACGGGGGAATAACTACCACTTTTGCTGGTCCACGGCCACTTCGCGAGCCGAGATGTGCTTCGCCTCCAAGAGACACTCGAGACAGAAGAGCATCGACTTCTGCATCACCTCGTTACCGATACCGATCGAGATCTTCTTGTACACCGAGCATTTGCCGCAGTAAGAGCGACGGCAGACCTGGCACGTGCCCCCGCGCGATAGCAGCAGGTTAGTGAGTTTGTTGAGACTGCGCGTGCAGTTGGCACAGTGGCTACTTGTGCCGTGGACGCTCGTGCCCGGACGAGCCTGACGAGAAGACTGTCTCATCATCCATGTGAGCTTGTAGGCGGTCGCACACTCCATAGTGTTCACGAGCGCCATGAGCTTCTCAGCGAACGCCGAGGCGGCCACGCTCACCGGCACGTCGCCGTCCAGTTGTAGAAACGCTCGAGAGAACATTTCAGCCGAGTGATGACGCGAACCGGCAACGGGAACGCCACTGTTGGCGAACGTTTGGCACACGGACAACTGGCCACGAAGCACATCTTGAGATCGCGGCAACGTCAGCACGTCCGATAGATCCGTCGACTGGCGGATACCGTAACCAACCATCTCGCCACGTGAGTCCTTAGTGATACCTGTGGACTCCAGAAACACGAAGTCTCGTGGCTGACTGAAGCGGCCGTACGTCTGTCGGCCCCACTTGATGCCAATGAACGCGAACGGGTTTTGCGGCGTTGGACGGGCTAAAACATACAGCAAACGGGAGTCCTCGAGCTCTGTGCCTAGATACGACTGGCGCATCATGCAGTGCTGTTCGGAATCCGCCAGCATACCCAAAACGGCATCTTCGGCCGTGCCGTCGACGGTACCGGACAGCACCACGGCAGGTGGGCGCGCAGACTTCTTGGCACGGAGACGGTCGCTGTCGTGGGAAGAAGTGCTAGAAGCAGTGAGCTTGTTCATAGTCGTTCGAGAGCTGTTAGACGACGATGACGAAAGCGCGTCCGACGTCTCCGTACGCGTCTCGGACGGATCCACGCCGTGCAATGCGCGACGCGAGCGGTACGCGCGCACATCGTCCTTGGTCCTCACGAGCTTCCACGCCGACGTGTCGAGCTGGCGGCCGCCAGCGGCGAAAGCTGATCGCAGCTCGAGCGTGTTCTGAACAACCGCCTCGACCTCGGCGATCAATGCAGCTTGACGCTCCGGGGAAAGTTTGAGCTCCGGCAACGCCACATCATGCACATTAAACTTGGCCATCCCTAGTCAAAGTGACCGAACAACTTAAGGGCTCTGAGTCGTTTGTGTAAATGAAGACGACGAAGTGCGAGCACGACGACAACGAATCTTTTTTGCATACAACCTGCGTGGCTCCCATCGATCGCCCTTATCTCGTTGCGGTACTATAAACAGGGTCAGCGATGCGCACTGTCTGCATTGCGCAATGGAACCAAACATGCCTTTGGAACGGCACCTATCCTATGGGGGTGCCACCATTAGAGTTCAATATAAACGGATGCGCATAGTACTACATAGATTCATCCACTACGGTAGTTGAGTTTATCAAATAGAGAGCCAAAAGTATGCGGATTTATCGGTGGACTAGGCAAAATGTATCTTCAACGACGTTTGGGGGAAGGAGCAATGGATTGCAACGCTTCAAACCTTGGCGTATGCCATGGAATTCATTTGACTAGTGTGGCCAAAGTGTTGCATGTGCACTCATGTGGGTGCGAACGCCAGAGTTTGTCGCCAGCGATAGCATTCTTGACGCCTAAGAAATTGGTCAATGTCTGCTGTGTTCGATCGCTCCTCGTCTCCACGTTTTGTCTTTGTGTGCCTTAACCTTCAGTGCAAAAATTCGGTGCGATCACACACTTTAGAGCTCGTTCCAGAACGAGGTGACGGATTCAAGGCGAGCATGGAGCACTTGAAACTCCATTCTTTGCGAGGACGAAGATGTCTCTGTCGACTGTCGTGACCTCGTTTGGAAAGGCTGGTGGCGACTGACGGATGGATAACAAGTTGAAAGGCTCTCAGGGTTGACAGGCTCGCAATGCTTGGAGGCCTCACTATCCAATGCGCCTGGATCGCGCGCTCCGTCCAGAACCGTCGCCTGCCGCCACTTGTCTGGGTGAAGCTTCTTGTTTAGAGCTCAAAAAGCCCAAGAAATTCTTTGAAAACGCGCTGCTCTCTGTCCTGGTATCTCAGCCTTCGTCAAATGTGTCTCTTGTTTTCGCGAAAACGCCATGTTAAGAACCAAGCCCGAAGCCGCCTTTGAAAGACAACTCCATGATGTCGGAAAGCTCAAGTTGAGTTGGGCCATCGATAATGCCCGCAATCAACGAGCGATCCAGCGCAGTTCGCTCTTGTCGTCGCCTTCTCGACAATTGATTCAGAAGCTCTAGTACATGTACTCAGTGCGAGCTCCACGCGTTTGATCCAAGTAAAACAGCGAGCAAGCACAAAACATGAAATGATACAGTGCTGTACAGGTACAGCTTTCAGTGGTGATGTAAGCTGCCCACGCTCAATGTGACGATGCACGGGTGCCTCTCCAATTACTAGCTTCGCCTTCAGCAGTGTAGACAAGTGTTGTGTGCATCCTGTAGGGCGGAATGGTGTGAGAACGACACTTCAGCAATACCGTCGCGTTGCTGCCGTGTTGCTAACAACCACCGATCGTTGGAAACTCGGTGAGACAGAGTTTCGTCGCGGTAAAGCGACCCACCGAAGCCGGTACTGAACAAGAGGGGGCTATTAATACAGTACAGATATCTGGTTGCCGAGTCTGTTGGTTTTGTTTAACAACAAACCAGCCAGGCGAAATCAGCACTTTGAAAGAAGAAACCGATCGACAAGGTATCGGACGCTTGATTACACGAATGATAATGCTAACAGTATAGTAGAGCATATATACTACACAGCTCTGTGAGCCATCTCTCGGTGAGGTTGTTAGTCCCGTGGTGAGCCTACGCCATTTTCATGAGGTCCCCCCCCCCTCGCGTGACGAACACGGCACTTTCCGCTGCCGCAACATACAACTTCAGCTGAAATGTGGTGGGACTATGATGCAACTTAAGGCAAAGTGAAAATTGCAATGACTTGTAAAACTTTAAATTGCTTGAATTATTTAATCTACTTCGAAGTAAAAGTTTCCCATTACTACAGAACTTGTGAATGTACCGGTATTAAAATTACTTCGAGGTAAAAATGCAAAACTTTTATAAATTGCGCAAGCACTTTCAGGCAGTTTAAATTTTTGCAAAAGTCTTTACTTAAATATCAAAATAATGTACAGTACAGTAGTTTTAAAATTCTCTGGTGTGTGTTCTATAGCGCCTATGGGTTCATGTTCACTCCGCTTCAGACCCTGTCATTAATATGCTGCGCGGTCTTATCAGCGGCACGCCGACGCGTACGCGCGTGATCCAGCAGGCTCGTCGCTTCAGCCAGACCCCCACCGCCCCGCTGCTCAAGGTGCACACGAAGGCGGCGCGTCCCAGTGCCGTAATTGCCTTCAGGTGAACAAACCTAACATCCTATGTTAAATTATATAAGTTATATCTGACATCTGGATTTAAAGAGGTCTAGAGCTGGGAGAAACGCAGCGTACGTGGCGCCAAGCAGCTAATGGCAATGTACTGAGTTACTGGAAGTCCGCGGCCTTGGCAGCCACAGCGTGTGGCACCCTGGCGCTCCAGCCTACCGCTTGTGAGTCCAATAAGAGCAACGATAAGGACGAAGATCCCGTGGAAAAGGCCAAGAAAATGGTACAGGACGCATCCACTATCGTTATTGCCAAGCTCGCGGAGCTGCTACCAGAGGATTACAGTAATCTGCAGAAGAAAATGGACGAGTTCCTGGTCTCTGGCAAAGCTGGGCAGATCACCTGGGGTTTCTGTATGGGCGCGTGTTCTGGCTTTGCTTTAAAGAAAGTATCCAAGTTGGGGGCTGTGGCGATTGGGTCGATGTTCGTACTATTGCAATGTGCGAGTTACTCTGGATACGTGGACGTCGACTACAAGAAACTGGAGCGGGATTTCAAGAGCTATCTTGATATTAACAAGGTATGATACAGTGCAGTCGTGGGTTTGGTGCAGATGAGAGACTGATATTGTGCGATATTTTGTAGGACGGCGTGTTTGATACGAAAGACTTGGACTCCATGTACAAGTCGGTGATGAAAGTGCTGGAGTTCAGTCTCCCTGCTGGCAGTGGGTTCGCTGCGGGCTTTGTTTTAGGGTTTCGCTCAGGATAAAAAAAACTTTATCGTATTTTGCTGTTGACTTGAAATAGTAAAATTAAAAAAATACTACTTCAGCAAGCAACACGACACTACTAAATGAAGAACACAAAGTGCTTATTAGACGAAGCAAAAACTTAACAACAAAAGCCTCTCGCTCGGTGTCTCAACACAGGACGCCGAATATCCATGCGTCTAGTGTCCGCACCACTTCAGTTTTCTACAGGTCGACTTCGTTATTGCGGTGGCTCTGGTGCTGCACGACCGAGTGGGTGCGTTGCATCTGGTTGTTGGCTTGTGGCTGCAGCCCTCTTAGCGGTCGGTTGCCGTAGTAGTTGGCGTTGGACGGGGTCTCCTGCGCGTACTGGCGCGGGTCCTGCATCTTGGGCGTCGTGTCGTCCCCCAGCACGGCCATGGAGCCTCCTCGACTCTGGTGGTGGTTGTTGTTGTTGCTATTGTTGTAGTACTGTGGCTCGCCCCCCAGTGCGAAGAAGGCCTCGGAGCCTTCCCGTGCGTTGGTGGTCTGCACCGTGACCGTCTTGTCGTCCGCGCCGTCCCGCTTGAGCTTCCACGTGCGGTAGAAGATGTACACTTGGCGGATCATGAGACACACGAGCACGAGCACCTGCAAGCCGACAATCGCAAAGGCCACGCCCTCCCGAAGATCGTCCGGGATGCTCTCGGTGAAGCTCGTGGCGCTCGAGAGCAGGAAGAAGCTGAGGAAGAGCGCCGAGATCTTGATGATGATGACGAAGCTCGACGTCTTCTGCACGAACGCCGTCGGGTACGGCTGCTTGATCTCCAGGTACAGGAGGAAGGCGATGTGCAGCGCGATGAGCACGATAATCTGCCACAAGCCCTGGATCCAGACCATGCCCGTGGTCATGCCACACAGCAGAGCCAGCAGCAGCTTGGGCGCGAAGAAGAAGCGGCCTTCGAAGCTGTGCTCGTCGTACAGCGGCCCGTAGCGCGCGTGGAACTTCTTGTCGAAATGGTCTTTGGTCCCCAAGTCCCGCAGCTCGTCCTCGTTGTTCTTGATGACCACGACGCCGTACAGAATCGTCCCAAAGGCCAGACCCAGCAGCGCCAGGATCGCCAGGAAGAAACTCACGTCCACCGAGTCGTGGTCCAGGCAGTAGCAGATCTGGTACATGGCCGTGGCGCCGACCACATACTCGGACAGAATGAGGATCATCATGAGCACGCCGATGGCTTTATCCAGCCATTTCTTACTGAACGTGGGGAAGTCCTGCACCAAGAAGAAGCAGACGCCCATTGCCAGCGCGTACGCACCGAACAGGACGCCGACCATGCAGGCAATGCCGGCCACGGCCAAGTAGAACAACATGTCCGGGTCCACGCCGATAAGAGACGCGTACTTCTCCATGCCCTGCACACCGGTAGTCGACGTCGAAGAGCCCGAGCCGGAGCTGCCACTCGAGCTACTGCCGGTAAGCAGACGCCGGGACTGGTCCGTCGAGTGGTCATCCGACGACGAAGCGTTGTTCTTGCCGAACGGGAGGAAGGTGAAGGCTGCTGGAGCCATCTTCTTGCCCATGTTCTCCATGAAACGAGGCCGAGCGTCCACGTTCATCTGGTTAAGCATGATAGAGAACTGGCAGATATCCACAGCAGCCATTGTGATGCCGACACTGGCTGCGGCCGACACACCGGAGGCCACACCGGCAGAGGTGCCGCCAACGATGCCACTAGCGACCGACATGACACCACCGGCTACTACCGACACTGTTGCGGCACTGCTACCGATCGTAGTCGAGGCAATACCGGCTTTGTCAACATTTGACTTGGCCGTACCGTCAGGCCAGTGGTTCGCGTCTTCCAGACCCTTGTTTGCCGGCACCGAATACTGCGAGTTGGATGCCGTGCCGGTACCGCCGGCACCAGACGACGGTGTGTAGCTCGACACACCGGCACATTGACAGGAGCTGAAGGAATTGTCACTAGTGTAGTCACACTCAGTAGTAGCAGCAAACGTGAGGTTCGAAAACGGCTGCTGCACTGCAGTAGCGACAGACGCGGCCGCTTGGGTGCCGGCGTTACTCATGAGAGTTAGGAAGTCTAACCCTGCGTAAATCTCCGAGTTAATACCGTCCGATGCTGTGTAGTCCCACGTGCCGTTGTTGCAGGCCGGGAACCGGCACACCGACATGCATGTAGCCAAGTCCGATATCTCCGTGCCGGACGAAGTGCCGGAGTAGATTAAACACTCAGCGGACGCAGCAGCGGACGTCACATCCAGTTGGGTACCTCCACACGTGAGACCCATTGTAGACCATGCACTGTAGAAAGTAGAGTCACAACTAAACTCAATCGTCGTGGTAGTTGTCGTAGTGTTAGTTCCTACCACACCTGCCGTTCCGGTCATTGACGACGACCCGGTCATAATCGGTGCCATTGTTGCTGTTGTTGTCGTGCTAGCATTCGAGCTTGGCGTCTTAGGTGTCGACGTCGGCGTCTTGGCCGTCGGAGGCGTGGCTGTGGTAGCTGTCGGCGCAGTGGTAGCCGTCGTAGTCATGCCGGTGGAGCCCGAAGCTTCCGTCGATACCGCTGTCGACACGCCGGCAGTTCCGGCAGTCGTCGTGGTTCCGCCGGCCTCGCCGGCCTCACCCATAAGACGACGGCCATCGTCCGAACCTAAGGTTGTCTCAACGGATGGAGCGACAGTAACCAGCGTAGTGGCCGCAGATCCCTCCGAAGTAGTTGACCCGGTCGACGTGCTCGGCGGGTTGGTTGCTGCTGGAGGTGTCTTGGTAGTGGCCGATGGAGTCTTCGTCGTGGACGTTGGTGTCTTCGTCGTGGACGTCGGCGTCTTGGTAGTGGGTGTCATAGTGGTCGATCCGGAAGTGTCCGAAGAAGTGTCCTGAGTCTCGTCGCTCGAGCCGGTGTCTTTTGCCTCGCTTGAGTCGTCAGAACCGACCCCGACCGTGCCCGGGTTGTCGTCCGACCCGTCGCCGACACTGCCAGACATGTCGGAAGATGTGTCGGGCTTGTCGTCCGAGTCACTGCCTGAAGACGTCGACGACTTCGTGGTGGTCACGCTGCTTGGCAGGTTAGTGCCTGTCGGCAGCGAGTACCGGAACACACATGGCACCGAATCGGCACTGGCCGAAATGGTGCCACTGCCCGATGAAGTCAACACCGTCGAAGTTGTCTGGGTCGTCTGCGCTGCTGCGACAGTCCACGCGGTGGCGGCTGCAATTGCCGCTACATACACTCGCATTTTTGTTGCCTTTTGGTGTTTCACCTAAAGTGACGCCTTAATACTCCGCGCAAAACCTGTTGCCGATCCTGCGTGGGTAGGAAAATCGAGAATTCGTATCCTGTCGCTTTAGGCTAATACACACACTCGCTCACGCCTCCCAAAACTCGACGCTCGCTCGCTGCTATGGTTTCCTGTTGCGAGATCCCGTTTGCCTTCCTTCCTGTGGCTGTCTCTACAGAGCGGTGCGATTGACAGACTGAGTGGTGAGAGCCAGCGTCGGTAGAGGATAGTGTGTAAGATAGGCGCTCTCTCTGTAGGAGTAGGGAAAACGCTGGCCCACAAAACAACTGGTCGGAGCAACCAGCCAATCAGCAGGTGTGACCAGTTCGGTTATCTTGGTACTCCACCTCCATCTCTGATACCGGTAATGTGCGCCTTGCTGTTTACCAAAGGCAATCGGGGTGCCAACGTTTCCCCCCCCTGGCAAGCTGCCAGGGGGGAGGGTGGCAACGACTTGCATCAGGTAAGTGGCGGAGATGTGAAGTCGTATCCATAGTGGTTGCGATACGAATTGGTACATGTACACTGCGACGCGAGAAACAGCATGAAGCAAAAGGAGCCAGCGTCGCATGTGCAAAGGCTCTTCGCCAAAGAATTTTACGAAACGCTAAATCGGAGGGATCGGGTGCTCAAACCTTGAATTTCTATCTTAGAACCTCTACGCACGCCACACCAGCGAATAGCCCGGGCAACATGACAATCCACAAAGGCATCGAAATTGGTGGTGTTGGAAAGGTGCATGTAGGATGTATGCAAAGAGGTTGCGGCAATGAGCGTGGCAAAGTACAGTAGGGCGACTTGGGCAAGTTTGCCACCGACGTCGTTGGTCCTTGTCATTCGTTGCATTCTTGGCTACATGTACCTTTATACATGTAGCAGGAATGAACCTCGAAACCACCTGGTCTTTCCTCCACGCGCACTAAAACTGACTCGCAAATGTGACGAAGCCCCACGTTTACCACGCAAGTCGGGATCGGGTTTGAGAGGTTGTGCCGTCGTTTCGCCAAGTTCGTTTACAATCATTGCAACATGCAACAGGCGACCACTTGGCAATCAATTGAATCTCCTCGCTCTTCGTGAAAGCTTTTAACACAAGCTGGAATTTCATTGCAACGTCGAAGAGGCAAGGAAGGTATTGCCCCTGCTCAGTATTTTGTCATGCCAAAAGCGAGGAAACCCATCGTTTCGTGTACCTGTGGATACCGCACGAGCGAAAGGAAGCATGATCGGACGGACAGTACGTCATAAATCGAAGTGGGCTCCTTGAGTTTCTGTCACACGTCACAGGTTTTGTTGAGATCTCGTCAGGGGTGACCTTTTGCCTCGAACGAAAGCATCTACTTGCAGCATTGAGCAATGGTCATTCACTATGCTCCGTCTACAGTAGTGATCCTTTTCGTTTAAGGTTCATTGGCGTATTCGGGATTATCCAACGTGGCGTATTTGCGTATTTGCGACTCATTGTCTCGTATTTTTTACACATGAACATGTTAGTTTACTGTAGCAATCCTCTTTTAGAAAGTTCAAAGTACATGTAGCTCAATATTACTGCATCAATATCTAATATTAATATTAACGAGCCGAGCGCTGCCGCTACGCGGCGGTAGTTTAGATTTTATTCAAGATCAATGCCTTTCCGCCTCTGAGGTTCCAAAATCTCTCCGAACCCCTATGTGCCTAAATCGACCTCTTTAATTCCATAAATCTGGGTTTAATTTAGATCATTCGCTACACAATGCTGAGCTCCAAGTAAGCCGTGCAATTATTCCTACAAAAACTTGAGCCCTAGCATCATATTTATCCCACTAGCCGAGCGCCGCCGCTACGCAACGGTAAATTAGGTTTAGTTCTACACGGTTTGCCCTCCCCGCCTTCGGCGGCGAGGGTTAAGGGTATTTGACAAACTAGTAATCTAAAGTAATAATAATACTAATGCTATTTGAGTATTAGTGCTATTAATACCGTATAGTGTGGTATTCACTATTAGTATTAGTATTACTCAGGTGAGGCGATACTATAGTACTCTGAACAGTACTATTTTACCAGAAAGCCAGTGAACAAGCAACTGCCCCTCATTGAGCACTCATCGAACCTGTGGCTGTCCTGCGTCGTTTGCCATTTCAGAAAAGAACTGGATACCGCCATTGCGATCGACCAGGATTCGACGGCTGAAGATGCCTTGTGCAGTTCATGGCTGTGTGGAAGGTCCTGAGCTCAAGACAGACCCTTGCACCGTATGCGGAAAGCCCACTCACCACCTGTGTGCAATCGGGGTATTTGAAGGAGACACGTCGTCGTTGAATGAAATGTAATTTGCTTATTGTTGTGTCTTATTTCCACGTCTAACCCTCTTCTCTGTTGATACGCAGATTCTGCAGTCAACCATGTGTAGAGAAGATTTACCCGACCGCTAAGGACTCTACACCAGCCGTGACGACCTCTTCGACGGTCCCCGCCGCTACATCTTCTTCTGCGTCGGGGAATATCTGGGCTGGATCCGACTCCGATTTCGTGTCGTCTCCTGAAGTCGCCGTGGCATCGGATACTGCGGTTGTGCGACCAGTGAAGCGTCGGAAGGTTGCGGCGAAAGGGAAAGTGGCCAAGGTGAAGGCCATTAAACCTCCTCTGGATGGTAACCTACGTAGTGTGCTGCCTCCTCCCCCGGCCTCTCCTGTTTCTGACTTAGGGGTCCCGCTTTCATTGACACACTCAAGGAAGGTTGGTACTACTGATTCTGTCTGGGACCTAATTCATGTATTGGATAAACCCTACAGAAAGCGAAATCCGTGGAAGCCTTCCACCCAAGTGTACCGCAACATTTGTCTGCTGTGCTGTGAGGAGATTAAGGCACGGAAGAATACCACGTCCTACAGCTGGGAGGATGCCTTACGCAGCACGAAGAATACGAGCAACACCAAGGAGCATATCAAGTCGAGACATGCGGACCATCCTTTGGCGATTTTAGCAGAACAGACAACAGCTCAAAAGGCGAAAGACGATGTCATGAGTGCGGAAGATGACACCCGAGTCGTTTTAGACTTGACTTGTGGTGGTGAGAATGATGCTACTACTTCTGCGCCTATTACTACTGGTTCGTCTGCGGGGAATAAGTCTTTGGCGAAACGTTTCTTCAAGGCGGATGAGAAGACGCTACACGTGCTGATTTCGAAGTGGCTAATTACGCAAGGAATTCCTCATCCGGCATGCAGGTCAGGCCCCTTCGAGGAGATGATGCGTGCGGCAACAGGCAAGATGGAAGCGGTAACGCACTTTATCGCCAACTTGGCATTGGTTGAGGTGCAAAGCGAGAATCTAGTATCTTCATACATGGTAGTATTCCGGAGACTTGCCGAGAAGAAGCTGAAATCGTTCAAGTTTGACACTATGGTTATTGAAGCCCCTCGAGCAAAGGATGGGAACGAGGCAAGTCATCGACGGGTAGTGAGAAAGCTTGACCAGTTCACAGTAGCTGGGAAATCGTGCCTGCGAAGTACTCTTCTACAACTGCAGTCACGGTTCCCAAAAGTGACGAGGGAGGCTATGGTGTGTATATTACTGGACCCTCGTACTAAGTCCAGCGCCAAGAAAATTGCTGCGGTTGGCAACGTCTCCCGCAAAGAGGAGAAGGCCACTTACAAAAATGGTCTGGAATTCCTTCGAGACGAGCATCAAAAAGTGTTTGCGCAGATGGCGAAGGTGGGCAAGATGCCATTATCGCAGACTTCATCGCAGAGCAGCCTACTCAGCCAGGACTTGAATTCCCCGCTCTCTTCTCCATCATCGACAGGCTGGGACGACGAAGACGAGCTCTTGCTCGGGGCACTTATTCGTACAAGTAAGACCAGGGAGGAGGTCAAGGAGTCGGAGTTAAATGCAAGAGCGGACAGTATCAAGAACGAGTGGCTCGAGATGGAGCCTGAGTGGCTCGAGATTGCACAGCGCTAAAACCCTGAGACCAAGAAGGAAGATCTGTCCTCTGCAATGATAACGGACAGTCGGACGGG